GTATAATAAGTAATAATAAGAATATTCCTATTGATGACTTAGGGATAACCCGATTGGAAACTGAATGTTAATAAATTAATATCAATAAGAATAACCCTATTGATATCTTTATAACACCCTGATTGGAATCTTATTGTATCCTATCTGCGCTATTAATCGTTATCAATCGGGATCATCTGATTCTAAAAAAATAAAAAAATAGGAGACTAATCAGGTCAAATCTGGCAACTCAGATTTGACCCGATTGGTCACCTATTTGTCATCGTTCAACTAATGTTTTGAGAGAGCAGGAATATCACAAGTTCATGCAAGAATATATGTATATAATATAAATTCACTTTCAGTAAATGCATCATAACATGTTATACCATCTAAAATAAATTATTTTTTAATAAAAATTATATACAAATGTTATTATAAAAAAAATTTACTTACTTTCTAATTCTTTCATTTTATTTACAAAGGACCTTAAAAATAAATTAAAATCTTTAGGTGAAGTTGACCCGGAAATTAAAAAAGGAATTATCAAATTTCTTTTTTAACTTGAATCAAAGAATCAAGATTATTATTAATTAAAAGAAATGTCTAACAATCATCTGTTTTTTGTTTAAATAATTGAAATCCATCACAAGAAACAGTGAATGTATATCCCTTTTATCATTAAATAGATTAATCTCCAATAATTCTTTATAGATTTTTCCATTAAAGATATCATCTAAATCTTTTGAATTAATATCTTTATTATTAATATATTGATGAATTCTTCTGCTCTTACTTTATTATTGTATTGGATTTTTAATCTTTTTTTGATAGAAAGGTATAGCATAACTTTTTTAGATTTATTTGTTAAATCATCATATCTTGATAAACTGCATAATAGGCAACTCTGAAAAGATTCATAAATTCCAGTATAATATATACAATAATTTTTACATATATTATAAAAGATAGGAACAAGCCCTGTTATTCTCTCTAATGATTTTTTAACCTTATATAAATTAAGGTCTTTTTTTACATATGATTTATTAATACCATAATATGCTACTTCCAACAAATTAAATAAAGATTTTAAATATAGAAGTTTAAGACCTTCAATGACTTCTTCGCTAATGATATTATGATCTTCGATTTGCATTTTGTCTTCATTGCCATCACTATCTTTACTGTTATTATCTTCATCTTTGTCAATATTATCATTATCATCTTCATCCTCTTCTTTTTTATCATCTTGATTAGAAATATCATTATCATCATCTTCTTCTTCTTCATTATCTGAAATTATTTCTAAATTGTCAATATCATCAATATTTTCAATTATATTTTCATGAAATTCAAAATCAAAATCTTGATCATGAACTTTAACTTGATTGATATTTTCATCATTATGATGTAATAAAATTTGAGCTTTTTTACAATGGCATGTATATATCAGTTTAGATACAAATGTACCATTTTCATTTTTACTTACACACAATACACATTTACATAAATAAAGCTCTTTTTTCATTTTTTATTGAAAAAATGATTTGTTTTATTATAGAATAATTTGAGTTTTATAAATTGTTTAATTCTTAACATTTGTTTGGATTGTTTGGATTTGTTTGAATCTATTTAGAAAAAATACATCCTATTTATAATAATTTTTAAAATTATTAAAAGCATAATAAATTATGTGTATTGTATAGAGTAGGAGCAAAAGAAGGATTCTGGGATAAAAATCCAAAAGATATCTAAAAAGGTTTTCTGACCGTCCACAAATCCATTTTAGCTATATGAATTAAATTATCGAATTTAAACCTCTAGTACAATTTAACTCAAATATAGATGATGATATCGAACTTGGTTAGGAATTAACCTTCAGATATCAAGAATTATACTGTTTGATTTAGCCATTCTAGCCTGATTTTATTCCAAATAATATATCAAAAAAATTTTACTATTCTGTTTATCTCAGGAGGGGCCATCAAAAATCAAGGAACAAAATGATGTAATTTGAGCTGAGTCTGACATTGCAAACCCAAATTTAATAATAACTTTTATGCTATTCTGCTTGCCTCTAGAGGGGCCATCAAAAATTAAGAAACAAAGTGACGTAATTTGAGCTGGGCCTGACCATGTAAGCCTAAAATGCATATTGTTAACATGTAATTCTTGCGAACTACAACTGTTAGACAGGGTATCAGAGTGTTATTTTTTTTAATATACGTAGTAATTTACTGATTTATTCTTAAGTCCTAGACTTATAATTAGTGTTATTCAGATATATTGATTTAATATTTCACTAAGATATTAAGCTATCACAAAGACCTGATTGTCTTTACACAGATTAACACAAAAGACCTGATTATCTTTACACAGATTAAATACGAAGACCTGATTGTCTTGTAAGTTTATACTCAAATTGCAGCTTATCACTAAGACTTATGCATCACTTATACTCAAATTGCAGCTTATCGCTAAGACTTATGCATCATGTAGACTTGTAAATTTTACTCAAATGTTTAAATATCATACTATCATTTAGAGATCACGCAGATGTAAATAATAAAATAGTTTATTGATAATAAAATAAATAAATAAAGATTAAAGAATTATTACACAACTCTGAGCAAAATTCTCTAGAAATAAAAGAAAAGAATAAAATATATAAGAAGAATACTAGCACCAGGCTAGAGGAAATCTAACTCCCCTACTATTCCAACATTTACAAACCATCCTATTTATATAAAATAATTTACATAGAAAGATAAAACTAATATATTATACATGTCTAATAAATCAAATATATCTATTATGTCTGACTTGTTTAATATGTCCTATTTGTTGAACATGTCAGATATATCATATATGTCAGACATGTTAGAAATGTCAACTATGTTAGATATGTCAGATATATCAGATATATCAAATATATAAGTTATGTAACATTTGTTTAACATTTCTAACGTTACATGTGTAAATCATTTGCAGATCATCCAGTAGATCAATTCTGTAGATCGTTTTTATAAATCTTCTAGTAGATCAATTTTGTGAAATATGTTGATCATTTACTGAGCTATATTCTCTATGTTATAATCACCCTGTAACAATAGGGAATATCAAGTTCTAATCCTTTAGGGTATTTAGGAATTTTCAAGAAATCTGGTCTGCGTTTTTCAGATAGTGGACCAAGATACTTTGCTACAATCTCTCGATACAATCTTTCACATTTATATTTGGAGCAATATGGACACCATGTATTATCATTTTTTACATGAGAAAGAGAAGCATACCATTGATGGTTTTTATTACATCTCCAGAGTAACTGACTTTTGCAATCAATATAAGAATCTGACAAACATTTTCACCTCGACTATATGCAATATCTTTAACTACTGAAATATCGAGTTTTGTATTAGCACAATGTGAACACCAAGAGTTATTATTCTTAATAATATTAATGGAAGCATACCATTTATGTGATTTGAAGCATTTCCAATGCAAATATGTTCTATAGTTAGTATATACATTGGATAAACATTCTCCGTTTTTACTATTTGCTAACTTTTTAGAATATTTGATACCAAGTCTTGCATTTTCATATACACAGTATGGGCACCAAGTCACTCTTTGAATACTATCAATTCAAACAAGCCATGAATAACCTTTAGAGCATTTTTAAGAGAGTGGAGTACGTCTGTTATGGTAGGAACTAGAAAGACATGTTCCATTCCTTTCATTTGCGAGATTTTGAGCAAATTTAAGCCCAAGTTTCATGCATTCCCAGCACCAATTTCCTTGATTTTTAACACTTGCAAGAGAGAGATAGAATTTATGTTTATTTTCACATTCCCATAAGAGAGTAAACTATTATTAACATATTTTTCTAAAATGCATTTCCCATTTCTTGCATGTGCCAATTCTTGAGTTACCAAAATGCTAAACTTTCTATTTGCGCAATAAGGACACTATGAATAGTGATTTTTGATAAAATCAAACGAAACAGTCTATTGATGATTTTTATTACACTTCTAAAGCATGGGAGTACAGTTATTAATATATTCTTCAGAAAGACACATACCTCCATGAGATTTTGCTATTCCTATTTTAAAATCTCATTAATGTGATATACAAGCCTATCAACCAGTTTAAGTTTATTTATTTTCATATCAAATGGAGTATTATTAATGATATACTAAAATAAATCCTTTTACTTCTTTGCCTCTTTCAAGAACCCTTTTTTGATTAGAGTATGTCTGATATAGGAAAGAAGATCAGCTGTATAGGGAACTTCAATAAAACATATATCTTGCTCCTTGCATATATTCTGCTTCTTCTGATCACGCATTCTCTGTTCATCCAAATCTATCTGGTCTCTTCTATGAAACATTGAATTAAGACTATAGTATTGCCGACCATGGAATTCGAATGCTAGTTGTAGTTCTTCATTATACCCATCGAGTTGCATTCTATCCAAAAAATTCAGCCTGTGTGATGGAAATTTTTTATCTAGTAGATCCTCAAAAATATATCGGCATTGGCGTTCACCACTTCTATGTTGACAAAGAGAACACCATTCGAATTTTTTCATGATATACTTTAATAGATATTCCCATTGATGCGTACCATTTTCACAAGACCAAAGATATATATCATAACCATTTATTTCTCTAGTCTTTCCTAGATATTGACCACCACGTTTTTGAGCATAACTAATGGCTTGGTTTAACTCACTATTGATAGGAGAAGCATGAACGAAATTTACAGATAATATACTTTGAGGTGGATATCCAACTTTTTCTGGATCAACTATTAACATCAACTCCTCTCTTACAAATCCTCGCTTTGTAGAATATTCTCTGTCGTCGAGATAATAAAGCACAGATTCATTTTTAGATACTACGATTTTTCAGACTTTATGAAGACTTGGTGATCTATATAGAATCAGTTATGCGTCTCTGATTCTCTATGCCTCCTTCCCATTTTGCATTAGCAAGAAGATAGCAAATAGTATCGCCTTTCTTTAAGGTTTCTTTATTCTCTCCAACAGGATGCTTGGATTTTATAGATAGTCTAGACTCGATCTTCTCTAATAAAATGGCTACTGAAGGCAGTGATGTACATTTTCTATGTTCCAAGCATTTGCTGTTTCAGCTATATATCCTAACTATATGTCCCAACTATGTCTCATATATGTTCTAAATGTTCCATCAATGTCCCATCAATGTCCTATCAGTGTTCTAACTATGTCTCATAATAATACTGATCGAAGGCGCTAATTCCCATTTTGAAGAACCTGATTCTCTAATGAGACGTATGGGATAGTTATTCAGGTAATCGATAGCTTTTGGCAAATGCCTAATCCATGCTCTTATTTGTCTTGAATCAGAAGATATAGACTCAACAGCATACTGGATCTTATATAGAATTTTTGAGAGTGTCTGATTGAAACGCTCTACAATTGCAGTTTCATGATAACTATATGGGCCAATTACTCAAATTATTATATTATGCTCTTGCATTAGACGGGAAGTTTCTCCCATCCATTTTCTTCTATTATTACATTATAGAAGCTTTGGTCATATCAATAGATTATTTCGACTCTTATATATTCTCCTAAATGCCTTAGCAACTTCATTGGTACTCTTTGACCTAAGCGGAACTGAAGCTTTAAATCTTGAGACGCAGTCTACTATATTAAGTATCGCTTTATAAGTCTTACTTCTGTAATGATCATGGGTCAGAAATAATATATCGCATTAATAGACATAATTTGGTCATGTTATTCGCCCATAGCTGAATCTGGAGATATGTTTAGAAAGGCACTTATAAATCTGGTATGATTCTTGTTGATTTAACCACTCATTCACAGCTTGAAGTTTGAATTGATACCCTCTTTTTTACATACATTTCTTAGGAATTTAGGATTAGAAAAATATCCAGTAGGTCGATAATATATCTCTCGTAAAATAAGATTCTGTTCTATACTACGAGCCTCATCAGGATCTATTTGGATTATAGGAACTCTTGCTTCTTTACTCATCCTTTTCTCATCTCTCAAAAAGATAGAACTATATATAAAAAAAAGAAGATAGAATAGTGCTGATATCTGAAAATGAAGTATATGAGAGTCAAATACAATTTCTAAAACGCGATTTGTATTATAGTGAGCTAGAGATATCTCGATTGTATAATATAAAAGAGATCTCATAGTGGGAGATATCTGATCTTAAAAGCCAAATAACGACGTTAGAGATAAAAATCCATAATCTGAAAAAGATTGCAGAGTGTAGATTGCTATTTATAACTTTTCGAGAAGATCAGATATCGGAAGAACTATCTAAGCTTTATGAAGAGATATTTTGGCTAAAAAATAGGATTAGTGATCTTATCATAGCCTCATCGAGTAATATACCTGGTCCTAGAGGGACCCCTTCAATACCATTAACAAGAGATTTTTCATCGTCCTCATTGTTTTCATCATCAAGGCAATCAGATCATAATCAGCCTTTATCGAGCAATATAGCTTCTGGTTCATCAGCAGGAATATAAGACTATATATATGGAATAGATGAATGTGAAAAATTAATTATCATGCTACTATCTGGGTAAACTGTTTAAAATGAGTAAGACGTACTGCTGATAATGAAATAAATTTATACAGAGTTCGGGATTGGTTAAAAAATCTTGAAGACAATCTTTTATAAGCTGAGAGAACAATAGCTGAGCGTGATAGAGAATTACAAAATACCCAAAATGCTTTGAAAGGCACAGAAATCCTAAATGGGATATTACAAGAGGATATTGCTAGAATAACTGAAAAGCCTAGATCACTTTCTGGTGGCTCCTTTAGTGAAAAAGTTTCTATTAGAATATTACAGGAAGAATTTGATCGATCTATTGAGCATCATCGCAATTTGAGTGAGCAACTTGATGATGATTTATTGGCTAGTATTCTATCTTTAATACTGCCTCTAGTAGAGCCAGAAGAAAACTTATCTCTCCAAAAGGTTCGCCGATTATTAGAGAAAAAGCATGAGAAAACTCTAAAGGCTATAGGCCTTGCTAATACTGCAGAAAAAAAGGTTCAAAAATTGACACGAGTCATATATGGTGGAAGTCCTTCTTCTCCTTCTGAAATGTCCAGTTCTCATTTAGAATTTGATGATGAGATTTTAGGTGATTTAGGGGGTAATATAGATGAGGAGGAAGATTCTATGTCAGATTTCCCATCTTATGATGAAGATATAGGAGCTATTAATGATCAGCTAAAAGAGGAGAAAGCCAGATTACTTCGAAAAAATACTTATCTTATTTTTATTTCTCGATTTCAGATCTGCAAGGCTAGGACAGCACAAGATTTATGGGTTGATACGAGGAGAGATAATCGTCAACTGAAAGCTCAACTGCATGAATGTCAAGGTGATAGGGGGGTACTAGAATATAATTGAGATCAGCTTTTTGATAGATATGAGAAGTGGAAAAATAAGATACATGAAGAACGTCAAATAATATTTAATTTACAGGGAGAAATTTTAGCATTACAGAATAATCCACTAAATATATCAGGAATGGTAGGATACAGACCCCCAATATTTTATGGTCATCCTGAAAAGGATTCAGATGATTGGCTTAGAGACATGCAGAGATATATAATAGCATGTCGAATAAATGTTACCCCTGGTGTAAGTCAGGCTGCCAGAAGAGAAGAGGCATTTGGACTAGTAGTATCATGCCTTGCAGGTGATGCATTGAATTTTTATTTAACTCGTATCAAAGGTAAAAATTGGAGATATAATAATCTTTCAGACAACTTGGGAGTATTTACTTTAAATACTGTTCGAGCAATAGATGCTGGAAATGGTGATAATCAAATTAGTGGGTTGAATACTGCTGAAGAATTTATAGGTAAGGTGGCCGCTGAAATTGGTAGGATTGGAGCAGGAATTACAACAGGTGCTGATATTATTCTGAATGGAACATAGAATGAAGATTGGTCTATAGCTGGTAGCGAACCTGTAGATAATGTACTAGTAGCATCTAATGCCAGAGGTGGTTTTCCTGCTGTTACTATTGCTCCTAATATTAAGCTTGGTCAACTTTTATACCTGTTTAGAACCGCTTATACAATAGTTAAACACTTAAAACAAATAGCAGTTTTTGGTCAACTTATACAGGTCGATATGTCAGTTGAGCAATTCTCTATTAGAATTAAAAAGATTGGTAAACTAACTGAAATGACTCCTAAACAGCAAAGAGAGCAATTTATTCGTGATTTGTCTCCGATGAATCAATATAATCTTCGAATGATGACCAAATTTCATGATACACAGGATAATATTACACAAGCTCTAGCTGAAGCAGAAAAATATACATTATCTCAAAAGAGTGCACTGTCATCTTTTCCAATTTTTCCAGCAGTCAATCCATATACAGATACTAACAGATCAGGGATGACTAAAAATAAAATTGAGATCTTGGTAAAAATTACAATAGCATTCTCAGAATCTCAACAGCCTCAACAAATGACTTTATTGCAATTTCAACCACAACCTGCAGGAACGCATAAAAATTTACGAGATGAGAATATAGGCAGATTCTTATCATGGATTATGGGAGAAACCCCAGAATTTATTTCTGTTCCTAATTCCACTTTACCACCAAAGCCAAAGAAAAAGATTGAAGTTGATTCTGATGATGAACTCGCTGAGCTCACGAAAAAGCAGTTAAATCTTCACATGGCTAAAGCCATTAAAAAGCTATGAAGGGGCAATAGCATTATTCTAATTGTAATAGAACTGAACATAATTCTCGCAAATATACTCGAAAGAAGAAAAAGAAAAGTAAGAAGTCTAAAAAGGAAAGGTTAATCTTGCTACTATAGATTCAGGTTCTAATTCAGATTCTAGTGCCTCCTCTAGCGATTCATCATCTAGTGATAATTCTGATTCTGATAAAAGTTCTTCTGATTCTTCTAATTCTGAAAGTGATATCACTGTTAATATTGTCAAATCAAAAAAAAGTAAAGCGTAATACCTCATCTAGTAATAAATTCAGATCTAAAAATCATCTTCTCAGAAGGAGTCTACCAGAGGCGGTAAAAGTAAATCTGAGAAAAAGACCCGCAAGACAAAACAGGATGATACGCTTGCTGATTCTTTTCTTCTAAAGCTAATCAGCAGATTATTCATAAAATAATTCGAAGTAAGCTTGGTCTAGCTTTGCGAGAAGAACTTAAAAAGATCCTCTCTCCATATATGATTTAGGCCCTCCCGCTAGATACTAAGAAATCAGATTCAACCAAAGATAAGATCAAACCTAAAGTTAATGATTTCTCATCTTTTCGAGAACTGACTTCCGCTGTATCTGAATCAAATGATGAGTTTATCAATGATCCTATGGAGATAGACTTTGTCTAAAGAAAAGAACCCGCCACAAATGTTGTCATTGTTAAGTGTAAAATTAAGCGTCTAGTGATTTCAGCTAGTACTGTTAATCCCGTTGCTAATTTTCTGATTATGTCTGAGGATATAGCCAAATGATCAAAGCTAGAAATTGATACAAAAGAAAAACATGATCTTAGAGGCATTG